ACCCATACTATTGCCTCACTGCTAATGACCCAGAATGGACTTTAGTACTCTTCTGGATTCTCCTAAATAAATTGGATTATCACCTAAATTCCATTTTAGGAGATTGCAACTTCATCTTGGTAACAATCCAATTTCTCCAAGCCTGTCATCTTAAATCGGTGAGTAGTCTTTATTTTTAATCTATTTGGCAAGTTGTTTAACAATATTACAGTATCTGTGAGTGTGTCTATAGCAGTGTATTTGTAAGTCTGTCTGGAGGAGTACATCTGTGAGTGAGTGTGTCTTTAGGAGTGTATCTGTGAGTATGTCAATAGGAGTGTATCTGCGAGTGTCTATAGGAGTGTATCTGCGAGTGTGTCTATAGGAGTGTACCTGCGAGTGTGTCTATAGGAGTGTACCTGCGAGTGTGTCTATAGGAATGTACCTGCGAGTGTGTCTATAGGAATGTACCTGTAAGTGTGTCTATAGGAGTATAATGTGTCTGTCTGTAGGAGTGTCCCTATCTGTGAGTGTGTATATATATATACACACACACACACACACCACGTGTCCCGCATTCACAGCTCCAGGGCTTGTTAATGCCTCGGTGCAGTCTCCGGCGTTCATATATATTACCTTGATGGAGAGCACTCACAGGACTCGGTATGTATCAAAGAAGTGCTTTTTATTTCAGCAACAAACAATCACATCCGTAATGTCAGTGTCAACGTTGACACTGACATTACGGATGTAATTGTTTGTTGCTGAAATAAAACGCACTTCTTTGATACATACCGAGTCTTGTGAGTGCTCTCCATCAAGGTACTATATATATATATATATATATATATATATTTTACACAAAATACACAATACAGAGCACTCGCTTATTCACTAAACAATTATTTCAAATCTCACAGATTGCAATAGTATATATATATATATATATATATATATATATATATATATATATATATATATATATATATATATATATATATATATATATATATATATATATGTATTATGTATATATTTTGCAGTACACCGATTGGCCAATTTTGCACCCTTTTGGTTTTTCTGATTTATTTTCCTGAATCTTTTTCAGCGGGTGAAATTCTGACAGGCCTAACTGCCACATGCATGAAGTTCTGCCATCCTGAATTGTTTTTTTTTTTTTTCAGACGAAGAGGTTTGGTAAACACAACTTTTTGCATTGCATCGCGTACAAGCCTAGTGTTATTTATCATGTAACTTCTTCCTTTGAGAATGTTTTCTATAAGTGTTTACAGATAGATTGCATTTGAAAATGTATTGCTAAATGGCTCCAGACACTGGAGTGCATTGGGTACATTTTAAGACAATACAATTTACTGATGAATTATTTCCATCCAAGTGTTTCATAAACGCAATGCTAGTTTTCCCCTGTTAATTCCAAAGATGTCCTGGCTAGCATTTTAATTGCATTATTAAAAATGTTTTGTAAAATAATAGATTATTTAAACAGGGCATATGCTATTTATGCAAGATCTTATTCTCTACTTATTTCTGTTTAACTGGTTGTGTGTGTTGAGCAGTGATTTTTGTCTTATTTGAAGGTAACTTAATATTCCTGTTTATTTTTTTACTACAAACAGAAAGAGAATACCACGAAATAATGATGTATTGATTATATAATATTTTAAAAGCGGTCCTGTTGTTTTTTTGGAGGGAGGAGCATAAGGTGTAAGAAATGCATATCATATATACAGGTGTACCTCGCTTTACGGCACTTCACTGATACGGTGCTTACAGTACAGGCCAACCCCCGGGGCGAATAGAGAGGGGGGAGCATGACTGCTGCCCTGAGGGGTTGGCATAGCAACCAAAAGGATACAGTTGGTTTTCCGTTTGAAAGCAGGGAGTTCTGGGAAAAGTTACCAGACTACTGGTGAACAATGCTGAGGGAGCCTGGCAGTGTTTTTCCCCACCTACACTCCCCAATGGTTCTGTTCTGGAATTGTGTTTTATTTTCTTTGTTTCCTGTGCCAGCAGGTTTGGTAAATGAATAATGCCCGGATGGGGAGTTGCAGCCTGAATTTGGTTGATGACGAAGGACAGGCTGAAGAGGCTCTGGAAGAAGTTTAAAGTGTACCTGTCTGTTGGGTAAAACCAGCAGCTGACAGTATTTCGTTATGCTGGTTTAAATAAAGCTGTGGCCGTTGCCCTTACCCACTTAACATGGTGTTGCGTTACTTATTGGAAATGAAAGGGTAACGGGATTTGGTGATCGAAGGAGTCAGCAGTCATGTACACAGTATGCATCATTTCCAGTTCCTCCCTTACCAGTTTCTTGTGATGCACACATCAGCTGTCTCCAAATGTAAACATCAAGTCTGCTGTAGAATAGACTCAGAGTGACAGCTGTAAAGCTCGCTCGGTCCTTCCCCTTTTACCACTTGCAGTAGGACGCCACTTCCTACTACCGCATATTTAATTAGCTTTATGGCCATTTCACTTCACTTCACAGCGGTTGTCTACAACATAATCTGCGGTATTAGCGGGGTATGCATGTAGTTTTGTCTGGGGTCAGGTAAATAGCCATTGATCTGTTATTCTTTTAGTTGTTATTATTAGTAAGATGATGGTTAAACAGGGTGTAAAATTTGTAGCACTTGTTAAATACTTGGGTAGGCAGTTTCAACAACCCAAAATGTAAAGGACACTATAGTCACCAGAACAACTACAGCTAAATGTAGTTATATGCAAGCATCTTTATGCAAACACTGCCTTTTCAGAGAAAAGGCAGTGTTTACATTGCCCCTAGGGACACCTCCAAATGGCCACTCCTCAGATGACCACTGGAGGTGCTTCCTGGCTCAAGGCTGCACAGTAGGCAATCCAATGCTTTCCCCATGGCTAAAAGGGGGGGGGGAGGAAGCCACCTAAATGGTGGTTCTTGTACTATAGGGTCAGGAATACATAGTTGTGTTCCTGACCCTATAGTGTTCCTTTAAATCTGTTTAGTCTGGAAAAAAATTTCCTCAGAGGGAATATGATAACATTATACAAATATATTAGGGGCCAGTACAAACCATTGTCTGGAAATCTATTCATAAACAGGACTATACATAGGACACAAAGTCACACATTTAAGCTGGAATAGAGGAGATTTAGTAAGGGGCAAAGAAAAGTTTTTTTTACAGTAAGAACAATAAGGATGTCGAATTCTCTGCATAAAGAGGTGGTTTTATCAGAGGCAATACAGAAGTTTAAAAGAGCAATAGAAAGTACAAGTCAAGAATCCCAATAAGCAGCAAGGGCTCGTGGCTTGACTTTAGAAAGACTAAAGCCGAGCTTCAAGAAAGGGAATAACCCTGAAAATAATACAAATTTAGAAAAAAGGAATCCCTTAAATTTAAGGGATCCTGAATTGAAGCTCCATCAGAACAGAGGGCGAAGGAGTCCTTACCTTTATTAGTTCTATGGATAAACATTATGACAGTAACCAGGGATATGGGAAGCAAAAGGGGTGGGGGTAGTTCTGGGGTGTATATTGACAAAACTGGTTGCCGGTTTGCTCAATGGGTACAAAATGTCCAAAGTGATCACAGCCTCTACACTGCACTCCAACCTCCGACAAACCCACAGACATGAACAGACCTCCATAAACGCAAGGTAGAGGCAGATATTAGAAAAGAGGTAAAAGGGGAGATAGGAATATAGGAATCTTAACAGACGACCAAGAAGCTGTCTATGTTCCACCCAAAACTCCCTCTAACCATACCTCGTCACCGTGGATAAATCCACTAGTACCTACCTAAACCAAACTTTTCACTGCCTGGAAAAAATAAAACTAGTGCTATATATACAGTAACATTGTGCTACCAAGTGCAGAAAGTGTGAGTGAAAGGATAGCTCGACACACGTTTCGGCATGTCAACACTCTCCTTGCAACGACGTGTTGATATAGCACTAGTTTTATTTTTTCCAGGCAGGTAGAAGTTTCACGTGTCTCATGTGTAAAACAGTACCTCCTATGTACAAGTTTTATGGTGTTTTGGGAAGTTACAGGGTCAAATATAGCATGTTAACTTTTTCATTTTTTTCATATTGAAATTCGCCAGATTGGTTATGTTGCCTTTGAGACCGTATGGTAGCCCAGGAATAAGAATTACCCCCATGATGGCATACCATTTGCAATAGTAGACAACCCAAGGTATTGCAAGTGGGGTATGTCCAGTCTTTTTTAGTAGCCACTTAGTTACAAACACTGGCCAAAGTTAGCATTAATATTTGTTTGTGTGTGAAAAATGCAAAAAAGTAATTTGAACACCAATTTTGGCCAGTGTTTGTGACAAAGTGGCTTCTAAAAAAGACTGGACATATCCCATTTGCAATACCTTGGCTTGTCTACTTTTGCAAATGGTATGCCATCATGGGGGTAATTCTCATTCCTGGGCTACCATACGGTCTCATAGGCAACGTAACCCATCTGGTGAATTTTAATGTGAAAAAACTGAAACACATGCCTTATATTTGACTCTGAGTTGAATTTGCTAGCACTATATTTAACCCTGTAACTTTCCAAGACACCATAAAACCTGTACATCAGGGTACTGTTATACTCGAGACTACGCTGAAAACAAATATTAGTGTTTCAAAACTGTAAACCTTATCACAACAATATTGTCAGTGTAAGTGTCGTTTGTGTGTGAAAGTAGTACAATTTTCACTAATATTTGTGTTCAGTGAAGTCTCCCGAGTAAAACAGTACCCCCCATGTACAGGTTTTATGGTGTCTTGGAAAGTTACAGGGTTAGATATAGTGCTAGAAAATTCAACTCTCTAGACTTTCTGCCTGGGTTATCAGGCAGGTCCCGCAAATTGTAATTAATAAAATTACTTAATTATGTAAATATATTACATCAATATATACGTAGAATAAAAAATAAATAAAATATATTATTTGCGGCCCACATAAACGTAAATTATCTGGCCCGTCTTAGTTTTTGAGTTTCACATGCTTGTCTTACACAATAAATACGATGATATTTTCAGTTCTTTTTGAGGACCTTGGGATAAATCTAATTTGTGAAGCCTATGTGTAAAATTATTAATTAACATAGTTGCTTTAACAGCAGCCAATAAACAAACGGGAATTATATGGTCGAAATTTTTAAGGTCAATGCAGGTAGCAATAAAAAAAAATTTTTTTTTTTTTTTTTTTAAATCTACTGCTACAAATTTTTTTTCTGTTTCTGTCATTAAAAGTTCCCCAATTTCTTCCGCCTTATATGATGTTTAGATGCTTGGCAACTAATCACATAAATATTGTAGGGTTGTTTGGAAAGTATGTCTCACTTTCTAAGCATAGATACCACAGACATGTTTAGTCTCCTCTAACAGGATTCCCTATATAGCTCATTAGCTTTGTAGTGGTTCATCCAAAATGTCCGGTCTTCCTTTCTTATTGGCAGTCATTGGGTAAAAGCATGGCCAGAGTTGGCACTCTTTAAACTGCATGTTGTGCATTTATAGGTTATTGGTATTGAACATGGCATGACCTCTCATTGGATTTGGGTACATGCACGGGCTTTGGAACCAGAGGGATGGGGGGGACGAATCCTCCCCAGGAAATCATTCAGGGGGACAGGTAATGGAGAAATCCCTCACAGTTAAATTTTGCATTAGGGCCAGTGTGTGGCCTACTAGTGCGCACCGGCCTGCGGGCTGCACTGCACAATTACAGAGTAACCGGCAGGAGGGGATGTGCTCCCCTCCTGCCGGTCACAGAATGTAGCGTGGCCGAGCGTGCAGACCGCGGTAGAGGAGCTTCTGTTCCCCTACCCGGTCTGACAGGAAGTGCTCACAGAAACCCCTCTACCGCGTTCTACCTGCTTGGCCACGCTACAGCAAGGTAAAGGGAGGGCGGAGGGGGGGTCTGTAATGGGAAACATGGCTAAATCCATTTCCCCAAAATCCAGTTTAAATCCTGTAGCCATGTTTGAATTCTAAGCTCTCTTTGTAGAAGGATCGGTAGTTTTTAAAAGAGTGCAATTCTCACTTTGATAATTGTTTAATTTAAAATCATACAGTTTATAGTGATGGTAAATTTCAGTAATCTCCCAAAAAAGTAAAGGTTTTGAAATGTTGCACTAAACAATTTCTTAAAGGTTACTTTATTACTTTAGTGTATCTCCCCCTCTCCCTGCTGAATGTGAAGATGTACATGTAGTAGCAATGTACTTTAACGCTGTACAGGAAGAGCTTAATACTGAAACTCTGAAAACACTGAACATACAGGCCCCAAACACCATGACCACTTCTAAACATTAAAGTGGGCATGGTGCTTTAAAATGAAAACATAACCCTTGAGCGCATATTTTATAAATAAGCACCGCATTTATTTATTTAGAAAAGAGTATATAGATTTTTTTTCTTTCAAATGCCAAAAATGAAATGATTCCATATTTAGCTGTAGAAGAACAATACTGCTTATTGTGTGAGTGTAAGGAATCGTGTCCTTTTTACAATTCTACTCACTATATTATGGATATTTTTGTTTTTTCCCCGTTTCAAAAGATTCTTAAAAATAATTTCTAAATTTGTATATAGTGAGTATAGTGTATTTCTAGTTACATTATCATCACAAAAATGAAATCACCAAAGATGTAAGCTCATTTGCTGTCTGTATTGGTGCATGTTGTCTCTCCAGTCCTGATCAATGCATGCATATCTGGAATCCAAATAATGTGACTAAAACTGCTGCAATTATTGAGTGATTTTTCTGTTTGTTTTGTCTACCATTGTAGACAAATAAAACTTAGAGGAAAGTAACCGACTACTAGACATGAATGCCTTTCAATGCCACTGTGAATAATTGCTGTAAAACAGAGTTGGTGCATTGTATGTAAAAGTTAATATAAAATTAGCCATGGGAGTTCAAGTTTATGATTTTGAGTGAAGCTAATAAAATCTGTTTACCTGCTCATTGGAGATATTCACTAAACAGTAAATTATAGTGGCCAACTTTTGTATAGGAGTGAATGGGGTAATTTGTATAGGAGTGAATTGGGTAATTTTTAGAAATCCACAATTTTTGTCAGTCTAGACTTTGCAAATCAGGTTTTCAGATCACTGCAGTTTGCGTTTTAGGGAAGGAATTCTGTTATCACCAAACAAGACCGTAATGACCTTTAATGGATTCACGAATGGCCGGCATCTTCTACCTTTGCACATGTGACCCTTTTATGATATTCTCCTTCAAACAGCTATACTCCATATTGATTTTTTTAACAAGTGAAATGCCCTCTTAATGTGTCCTTTAATTTATGCTGCATGACAACCACTGTTAGACAAATTGTCTATAAATGGAGACGAGTTAGTACTGTGACTACTAGATAAGATGACATTTTATGGTCAATTCGCAGAAAACCAACCAATGCAAAAGGGGTTACATACTTTTTCTTGCCACTGTATGTGGAAAAGGATTGCTCTGGCACTTTGTAAAATTATTAATGTTCTATCTATTTTGTGAAAATGTTAAATAATTTATACAAGATATTTTGTTTTGTTAAAAAATCAGGCAATAATGCATTACTTAAAGTATTATTACCAGTGGTTTTTAAGTGGAATAACTGAAATATATGCCAAAATTTTGGTTAATTTCTGTGACCTGCTAAATAAAGAACTGTTCCTTTTGCATTATTTTGTTGTGAGAAAGTTCACACACACACTTAAAATTTAACGTTATAAACAACTCCCAGTTTACTGAATAAGAATATACATGGCAAGTAAAAATGCTACATCCCCCAGACTTGTGGGGGTACCTACGCCCATGGGTACATGGGGTTATATGGATAAAGTCCAACAAATCAGGGGGAAATTCTGTGAGTATACTCTAGTGCCCCATCAGATTTAAACTTCAGAAGAAGTTCCTGCTTGGAAGCTTCCACTAGCTTTTCTTAGCTAACGAGGGTCAATGGAGTGCTCTCAGCCAATGAGCAAGGCCATGCACTGAGCAAACAGTCCAGACTCAGGGCTTCATTAACATAGGGGCTATTGGAGCTAATCTTCAGGCCTATGCTCCCCGAATAAGCCCATTGAATTAAAAATAAATATATATTATTACTCTTCACATGCTCTTGCTTTGTGCACAGGGAATTAATTATGGTAAATATTAAGGGATGCAGCGAATTCCTCCCAGCATTACTTGTGGCTGCAATATTTTAAAGGGGCCTGGTCGCGCTATTACATGGCCGCAGAGCTGACCGGGCCCCTGAAGATATAGGGCCCATCGGGTGACCCTAAATGATTGGGCCTCCCGATGGGCCCTATCAGCGTGCAGACCCCAGTGCAGGTGTACCGGCGGCAGTTCCGCCACTACATGTAGGGCCCAGGCCACCAGGCCCATGACAACTGTCATGGTTGTCACCCCTGATGGCGGCCCTGGGCGTTGCTAATGACATAATTTGCCTCACTTGCCCACTTTTTACCCGGCTTCACAGGACGCTGATGTTGGTGGTATGGATTTGGTTGACAGATTAAAGCAATAGATTAACATAGGGTATTTGTATTCTTGTACACACATCATGTGAGTTCCCTCTGGCATCACCTCCACTAGATACAAGGCACTTGGGTGTTTTCTGTAAGTAAGATTCTGTAATTAGGCCCATCATAATTGTCAGCACCAGGCCCAAAGGGCTCTTAAATGGGCCCTGTCCAGACTGCTAAAGCACTGTAGCTTTATGTTTGAAGAGCATGTACTCTTTTTTTTCATTTTACAAATAGTGCAGATATCAATAGAATCACCTTTATAAATTAACCTTGTTACACCTCCCCTGGCTGTCAATCAGACGTCCTGTTAGTTCCTGGTTTGGTTAGCTCAGTGGAGCTGAACTCAAGAGTCAGGCAATAGCTCAAAGCACTTGACTTGCAAAGATTTCTCGTTACGCTGCAATGGAAAGTCTGTTATTGGACAGCCTCAGAGAGTCTGGGAGGGCTTAGAAGGGGGCAGGGGGGCTCTTGACAAAAGACCTCTTAGCAGGTTGAAATGTTGCTGCTCTTTCACTTTTGAACCATTAAATCTACCTGCGGTTTGAACACCTTGAGTGCCTGGAGATTTTCATTTTGTCTGCCTGATCGTTGTGGGATTGCTGGTCCTGCTCCAGTGTTTGCTGGGATTGAGTGCGGCTCCTTTCTTCATTTTTGTAACACAGCAAGTGGGTAATAGAATGACAAATGGGACATAGTGTGAGAGGATGGTGTGTGTGTGTGTGTGTGTGTGGAGGCCGCATGTGAAGGCAGGCTGCTTATGATGTTGCATGTTAGTGGGGACGCAACTTGTATGGTGTGCATATGGCGGGAGTGTGGCTGCTTGTGGTGTTGCGTGCATTGGGATAGGTAATTTCTGGTGCTGCATGTTTCTGGAGAAATTGCTTGTGGGGTTGTGCCTGTTGGGACAGTTGCATGTGTGGCAAGAAGGTTGTTGTGAAGTTGTGTGGATGAATCTGAGTTGTAATATATGTGACATGTGAGTAGAGACTGTATGTGAATAGAAGCTATAGCATGTGTTTAGGGGGATGAGGGCTTTATGGTATGTAGTGAGCATATTGGCTAAAGGGTATGTTTGGGGATAGGATTTGATTGCTTGGGAAAAGTGTGCTGTATTGCATGTGTGAGGCATAAGATTCAAAATGGTCCAAACCTGGGTATATTTTTTGGGCTAAAAGCATCAGCTGATTTGGTTACCAATTCTCTGAAATCCCAGGTCTACTGAAGTAATCCCTGAATATACACTCAATCATTTAAATGTCCCTTATAAATAAAAAAACAAAAACAATACACGTTTTTTTAAAAAAAAAAAAGCCATTAAACTTACCTATTTAAAAACGTACAACTTTGGTGTGAAATTCTAGAATTAGTGAGGGCAATTAACAGGAACATCCTATTAATTTTAATTGTCAGGCTCTCAAGATAGCTTGTTATGTTACAGCTGCAAATTATGGTTTTAAAAGGGTTCAAATAGAATAGAAATAAATATTAATTATTAACACCCTCCTAATATATTCAACTTTTTATTTTTTTAGCTTTTCCTTATTGTGAATTATTTAAAAAAAAAAAAAAAGTTGACTAAAGATTGCATTTGAAAGAAATAAAAACAAACACATAGGTGTTTTCAATAAAAATGGGAAGCTAAGGTGCACAGACATTCTTTTTCACTGGGGATATATCAGTAAATTAACTATTGACCAGCTCTAGTTAAATAAAGCACTTGCCTTGACGTCCCCCAGCAGTCCTTGTCTTACTATGCTGTGTGTACTGGCCATCTGGCCCCCATAGATAGCTATATAAAGATTTATAAAGGAAAGATCAATAGCCCTGCTCCCAGCCCCAGGTAAGCTCTCCTGACAGCCTCAATAAACCCCGCCCACCCGTCACTTAGCCCAGCCCCTATAGCCCAATGGACGCGCCCCCTCAGACTGAGGCCCCGCCCCCTCAAGCGCACGCTGGGTGCCAGAGTGTCCGCGCCATGGACCTCCAGCTGCTGGAGCACCGGGTGCGGGTAACCAGTATCGACAAGTCCGGCCTGGCCTTCTACACCCACCCGCTGGTCAAGCTCATCTTCCTGCCGCACCATACTAGGTATGTGGGGGGAGGAGAGCCAGGGTAACCAGGGAGGGGGCACACTTTGCTGGGAGTTGGTGTGTCTCATCCCATATGTATAGACTGCAGCCTACACGGGGAGAGAGTCTCTCTCCCTCTCTCTCTCCTTTTTTATATATATTAACTTTTTATTTTTCTTCTTCTGATTGACCTATTTCCAGCGCTGCATGAACTCTATCTCATTATCTTAACCACAGGCTTCGCCTTCCTGTCAGCTCCATATGAATCCTCTATTTCTATAATTAGCCAGTTTATTCTGGTAGTGGCTATTCTAGCCATGTTACTTGCACCAGCTACACCCCAAACTTTCAGAATATTTGCTACCTCAACCATGTGCTGCTACACAGCTTACATTACTTAACCAACCAGACTACACTACCTCGTTGGCAGAAACTCTCTTATTCGCAGGGACTGTTTGTGTGGAACTTATCCATGTAAACTTTAAGAAACTTAATATTTCTTTGGTGGTAATACTGTTTTATTCTATAAATGTTCTAGAACTATGCTATTGTGGTGGTAGGGGTTCACAAACTTGAAAAAAAAACCCTCGATGTATTTAGACTTCCAAAGGCTATGGACTGATAAAAAAAATAATGGCTTATTCAGCATAACCTGATTTTGAAGCTCTAAATGCATTGCATGAATGTTATGGCAAAACTGTACTTATTTATTAACCTCCCCCAGCCTTATGAGATACTCTTGGCCCCAAAACAACAAGTTGGTTGTTTTGGTGCTTAAACAAGAACCCTTTGGCTGTATTATTATTATTATTATTATTATTATTATTATTATTATTATTATTATAGCAATGATGTTTGAAGTACAGCAGTTGTTCCAAAACGTTAGTATTGGCCACAATTTATGGTTAGGGGGACTAGCTGTATGCAATAGGACTTTCATACGATCCACAGCACCTTGGAGGTAGGTACTCCTTTTGTCTATAGCACCAATGCGATTTATTTTTGGCAGTTTATTGATGAAAGGATTGCAAAACCAGTGCTATTAGGACATCATCCCTTCATAAATACCAATTTTTTAAAATGCATGAATGTTCCACATTGGTGGACAGTTCTTTCCTAAATGATCCTTGTTATAGGTAAAGAACCATTTAGGCCTATAGTTTGTGTATTCAGCATACTCTTTAAAAAGCGGTATTTTCTCCTGAGGATAATGTTCCCCTTAATTTGTAATGGCTCTTGAAGCAGAGAACATAACTTTTCACATAGCTAAGTTATCAATAAATGCTCAAGAATACTAATAAAGAAGCTTCCTCCTCTCTAGCAATGAGTGTGTCGTCATGCCAAGTTTATGGAGGCTACACCAATGTAGATTATCACCAGTTACTCACTTTTTTCACAGCTCTCGTACATTTTTGGCCTTTCCCATGGCACAGACATCTTGGCATCTTTGCCAGTGGATACATATCTGCCACTCTGCTCCTACATTCCTCTGGAATAGTGCAGAATGCATTTAGCAAAGGACTAATTGAGTCACTAAACACATGCTCAGTAGTTATGGTGACACAGCAGGGGAACCACTCGTAGATGGGTTCACCTGCTCTCCCCTGTCACTGTTTTTTATTTATTTTATTTATTTTTTGAACCAATGAGGTA